ACAACTCACCTTCTAGTTAATTTTTCCATTACAAGCACCAGATCTTGACTTAAAAATCAGGTATATGAATGAAAATATACCACGGGAGTGACATAATTTCTTATGTGCCCACAGTATGTTCAAGCACAGTTATTTACAAACAACGCGCGTTGATTCTGGTACAGTTAATTCACAGAATGAGTCATTGTGTAACTCTTCCCTCTAGCTCGACATACATCCGAGAGGATGGGGGAGGCTACAGACCCACACGGAAATTGCAGCCCAGGAGACTCCTCCTCAATACCATACAAGCAGCAGGCAATCGCTAGGAGATGAGAAACCCTCTGGTGTTGCAATCTGCAAGTGACGTAGTGAACTGTAACGGGGCTGCTTTTGAAGCCACTGTTCATGCTGGGGTGGACTTTTTAGTGACGTGTTGGCTAGAGTCACGCATGCTCCTGTAAGTCACTGGCTCACCAAGCTCGATACGGGGTGAATGAAATCTTGGGTCTATTATTGGCTTTGTCTAAAATGGGTTGACAAGACCTCAAGTCTGAAGGATATAAAGAAGAATCTATAAAAGCCAATCAGATCTCCGACTATGGCTCTGTGTGACTCCAATCTCTTGGCTCACTCTCACCACGTCTGACCCCTCCCACAGTTCTCTTGTGACTACATTGGTTCCTCCCGAATCAGAGAGGATATTTCCTGCATTTTGAAATCATTAATGTAATTAATTAAAAAAAGGTAATGCATTTCCCAGGGGTTAGGAATTAGGCTGTGACACCCGCCCCCCAGGCAGGGAGGGGTATGCTGCCTACTTAGACTGTGAGTTAAAAGGACCAGTTCTAGGTTAGCCTAACTGGATCCAATTTTGTTTATCAATCACTGAAGTAAATATCCTGGGGAAAGTAATTAAGCTTTCTAGACCTTCATTTTCTCTCATAAAATATGAATATATAAAACACAGAGATTTCATAAGGATAGAGAAAGATTAAAATAAACATTAGCAAAGTAGGGAGCATTATACCAGACCCGGAATAGTTAGCCGCAGTTCCACTCAGTCTGCCCGGGCCATGTGTCTCACTAGAACATCTGTAATGACAGGTGGCTTAGGACATTAACCTAACAACAATGACAGTTTGTTCAAGATGATGAATTCTGTTTGAGAATAGACAATCACGGTTCTCTTGCTGTATAGAATTTCAGATAGTTCTATATAAAATGCAATGGTGCATAGTTATATTTGATGACTTGAATTCCTTAGAACAGTGAAATTCTCCAAAAACACCAAAAAGGAAATTGTTTGACAATGGCAGACCATTGCCGTGGAAACATGCATGTTAGAGTAAATTATGGGCATATGCAAGGACGTTGGGGCAAAGAATAAACATGGGGCATTTTCAAACAACAATCTTCAGCCTGTCATTGATTAAAAAGAGTGGCGTCATTTCCAGCCTGAGCAGGGGACGCTAGCTCCATGTCCTGCAGGAGTACTGTCTGTAGGAGGTGCTGTCTGAGAAGGAGATGGTTCTGGCAGTCTTTAGTAGGATCAGCCAACCATGCAGAAGCCTTTCACAACATCAAGGCACTGATTACTTTGAAGATTAAGGTTGACAAGAGTGATTTCATTTTGCCCCTGATAATGTTGACATTTCTTTTAAAGTAGTGATGTTAAGTGCTCCCACATATATGAGAAATGACATTTAAACACTAGACCATAGCTGGTGGTTTTCCTTGACACTCTGAGGTCCACTTTTCTGAGTCTCTTCCTTGCAGCAGTGCGCTTGCCCCATAATTCCCTCAAGTGTCAGTGTCCTTTTGTCTTAGCTCAGCCTTCATCCATCAACAGCCATGGGGATTCACGTATAGCTCACTATCCAGGGCCCAGAGGCTGTGGTGTTTATTATCCTGTGATGACTGTGAGCACCTTGCTCCTTTTATTTTTATCTGATCCCTAATCCGCACCAGAAGCCACACAGACACAGACAGCTTCCTGCTGTGTACTAAGGAACTACTGAAGAAAAGTCCCGTCTCAATTGCTTTAGTATCTGAAAATGGTCTTCTTTCCCTACGCCCTGCGCCACCCCCACCCCAAAACACACACACACACACACACACACACACACACAAGCACACACAGACCAGGCACACACACAGGCAGAGACACACAGACACACACAGACGACACACACAGACACACAGACACACAGAACAAGCCCACCAAGCAAGATAAGACTACAAGCTGAATAAACACCACAAGCATATCTCAAGCACTTGCAAAAGGCGGCAGCTATTCTCAGCCTCTGAAAACCACTATCGCATGGGCTCCATGTACTAGACTTCTGGTCCTGTCTTCTCTCCTCAGCTTGCTATTCAACTCATGCTCTCATCCGCAAAACCTGAAATACTGCCAGGAAGAATTTTCTTAAGAGCTTCTCATTTTGTCCTTGTGGGGAGCAATGATCTGAACAGATTCTCATTGTGAATTTACTCAGCTCTGCTGCATGTCCTATTGGCAGCCAGGAACTTGGTGCTCTCCGTTTGGACTTCTAAAATCTGACTCAGAATGTGTTCTTTATGCGAGAAAATAAAGCCCTAAGCTTAGATATGAAGGCACTAAGCTCAACAGACGTATCAAGGGCAATATACAGAGAAAAATTTTAAAGCATTGCAGAGTTTGTTTTTATAAGTGGGTTATCTGTGAACTTTTTGCTTTAATATTATCTTTCAGTTAATGTTTAATTAAGTTATTCATGAACTCATTCACTCAACAGTTATGGATCTATAACCCATTAGGAAAAAATGGTACCACGATTCTGATGTTATAAAACATTGCTTTTAACATATACCAAAATTGTTTGGAAAATGTTAACAAAGCACTAAAATGTCTGTAGCTTAAAATGTGAAAATAACGAAAAGACATTATGCATTGTGTCCTGTGGAGAAATCAGCCAGTTTAGGTGAAGCGATTTTGCTTTCTGTAGCTTTCTATAGCTTCACTATGTTGTCTATGAATTATTAGCATCAACTAAGAAATTGAAACAAAATGAAATGTATTCTGTAAGAAAATAAGATCTTCACTCAAGAGCCATCTTCACTGATAATTTTTTGGAGATTTTAAAGACTATTTTTATGCACGTGTATGCGTGTGTGTGTGTGCGTGTATGCACGTGTGTGTGTGTGTGTGTAAATGTATGCCACCATCAGTGGAGACCAGAAGCTGCTGGACCCCTGCAGCTGGAGTTACAGGTGGTTGGAACTGCCCGATGTCGGTTCTGGGAACCGAGCTGGGGCTCCCTGGAAGAGCAGGATGCACGCTTCACTTTTGAGCCATTTCTCCAAGACTGATGTTTTTGTAATTTTTTCAGTCCATAAGTCCTGCCTAAAGAAAGTTTCATCAGCCAAATGGATAAATAAATGAACATAGTCCTTAATTTTAAATGAACATAAAGATCTCAACATTATCTTAAAATTAGTTCTTCCTGTATGAGACAAATTTGGATACTTGCTTGCTGAGGGCACAGGGGTTTTAACAGAACCATATTTGTTAATAATATATAGGTTAGAAAATCAACAGTAACTGGTGTGCATAGAAAATGATTTAGATTTATTTGTTATGCACATGGGTGTTTCTGCTTGCATGTACATCTGCACACCACAAGGGGGCATTGGAATTCACTGGACTACAGACAGTTGTGAGTACCATGTGGGTGCTGGGAATTGAACTCAAGACCTCTGGAAGAACAGTCAGTGCTCTTAATTGCTGAGCCATTTCTCTAGCTTTCCCGTCTCTCTCCTAAAAAAAAAAAAAAAAAGATATGCTTTATGGAGATCTGCCTGCATATGATTCCCAGGTGCTGGGATTATTGGTGAGTGTCACCATGCTTGGCCCCACTGAAAAATTGTTAAAAACACACAATTAACTAAAACAAATTTACTAAACAGGAACAAGTTGAAAAACATAAATGGAGCTTTGAAAAGGGATCATTGAAAATATTATTTAGAAATGTTTTTCTTACTAAACTTCACATTTTTATGTACATTTAAATCTACATGCCAATTTAGTAAATATAACTTTCAGTGTTATCTCTTTAGAAATAATTACTAAGTAAAATATTATGGTGATATTGAAACAAACTAGTTACTAGTCAATGAATTAATATTGACGAACTTGTTTCCAAGTTAAAAGTAGATGAAACCTGTGTAACTTAAAAATGTTCAGTGTTTTGTGTATTAGCATTACCTATGATAATTAAATGGCAACGATATTCATTCCTTCAGGCATACATTGTCCTCGAGCCTACTTGCCCATTTTTATTTGCTGACTGACTTTTAAGCAATTTTTGGCTAAACAGAGAAAAGGAGAAACAGTCTCTGTGCTATGTGCAGATGGAATATTTTTGTCCAGGCCCGGTGGTGTACTGCTTTCATTGCAAAAGGTGCTCATCTGCAATATTAACCGAATGCAATTTCGGTTAATCGACTTCGAGACACTTCCCAATATTTCACTCCGTATTGCATTCAATAGTCACAACAACCCTTTAAGTTGGGCATCATTATAATTATTAGTTTCAGATGAAATCAAAGCAGAGACCTTCATTTGCAAACGCCAAGAATCGACTACGGAATTGGACTCTAAGGATTGCAAACGTCACTACCACGTTTTCCCGTCGGCTGACGCTGCTCAGATTCACAGATTCCACGTCCTAGATGGCCAAACGACGCTTTGCGTCGCGGTGACGCCACACCAGCTCGTAAACAAGGACTCTATCTGAGCAGGAGCAATCAAGGTGCCCTGACTTGATGGCGGAGGGACGGTCCTGTCTCCTAGGCAACAGCCATTGCATACAGGCTGCTACGGCACGGAGCTCCCAACACCGCCACCGGTGACGTCACTTCCTTTGGCCTGTGCCGTAGTCCTAGCAACGCGGGCGGAAAGTCGGTGTTGGGTACCCGAGAGACCAGGCGTGTGGGAAGTCACTTCCTTTCGGAGACGCTGTTGCCTAGCAACCGCCCTCCGCCTCCATCTTTTGCCCCGCCTCTTGCTTCTTCCAATACCTGGTTTCGCGGACTTCCAGGCCCTGGCCGGGGCGACATCGGTGCTAGAGCCCAACCGCTGCATTCTCAGGTGGTCCCAGGAGCCCGGGCGCAGGGCGTACGGGGTGGGTTGCAGGATGCGCGGGCCGGGGGCAAGGAGGAGCCGAGGGGACCGCGCTGGGTGTGCGCGGGCCTGGCGCGTGCTGGGTCGGGAGCCGCGCGGAGGAGCTGGGGACACGGACGCCACCTGGCCGGCCCGGGGAGCTCTGGGCGGTGGCCGGCCATCCGAATGGGCCTCGGGCGTCGTGCGAGCAACAGACTTTAATGCAACCTGGTGTCGAGATGTCCTTATGTGTTTTATTTTATTGTGAGAGAGCAAACAAATGGCTTAGGAAAATGTCGCTGCTGTTCGTGGTTAAGCATTGTTTTTGAATACGGTTATATGCAATTCATTTTTCGGGGCAGGGGTGAGGTAACCTTGACTCTGACAGTCCTCTTGGAAAAAGTCATGCTGGCGTCTGCAATGCAATGCTGTTGAATAATGGAAAAGTGGGAAATGTCTGGGACATTTGGTGCTCATCCTTATTTTTAATTTATATTTTAAGCTTATTCATTCTTAAAATAGTTGTAGAGCAGTAACTTTCTTTTGTATTTTCTTTCTGCGAAAGAAATTTGTTGGGACAATTTTATGTCTTTGCTAAAACGCCATTATATTTTGAGGTGAACATATAGGCCAGTGTTCGGAGCAGGGTATTTTCTGTTTGGCAGGAGGACACTAATGCCAGAAATAGAGTATCTCGATCATGTAAAAACGTCTAATTCTTTTATATATTTATATATTTTTCAGCCATAATCACAGTTTGAATGAACTATTCCAATTATTTAGTAACACTTTTATAAAAGTAGAGAAAAAGAATACACTATGTCGGATGAAATCTTCAGCACAACTTTGGCATATACCAAGAGTCCAAAAGCTACCAAGAGAACTTCTTTTCAGGTAAACTATGTCAAGGCATTTTGGTTTTGAGTATACTAGAACTCAGCACTTGCTGATTTGCCAGGGGTCTGGCTAGAAGCGAGAGGAGTTCTTGCTTCTCTTTTGCTGTGTTATAGGTGATCTATCAACTTTGGATGCTGGTATTAAAATACCCACTCTGTGACTACTTTTTGTTCATTATTGGCTTCTAAGTTGAAAGTGAAAGAACCACTTTGGAGTCTGTCTAGACTTCAGTTTTCTATTGTAAGCATTAAAAGACTTACTGTGCATCATCACGATTTCAAACTCTTCTTCCACATCTGCGATATTGATTATGTCCATATCTGTAGTTGATTATACCCACTTCTGCAGTATTGACTATGCCCATATCTGCAGTATTGATTACGCCCATATCTGCAGTATTGATTATACCTATATCTGCAGTATTGATTATAGCTATATCTGTAGTATTGATTATGCCCATATCTGTAGTATTGATTATACCAACATCTGAAGTATTGATTATGCCCATATCTGCCATATTGATTATGCCCATATCTACTGTATTGATTATGCCCATATCTGCAGTATGCCCGAAGTACCAGTGCAAGACTGAGAAGAATGTGGCTCAATGGTAGGTTGTGAGCCTACCCTGTTTGTCAAACCCAAGTCTCTACCTCCCTCAGAATGTACAGGACTCTAAGAAAATGTTGGTTTTTAATAAATTTTATCTAAACCAATGCTCCTATCATTAATGAGTTTTTAGCTCAGATTGTAATTAGCTCAGACCTGCAATTAGTTTATCTGATGCTAGTAGTCACTTCCTGTTTAACTACAAGGCCATAGGCGATGGCTCCCATTTAAATTTTCTGCAGTGAGTTTGATGACTTGGGAATGGATCACAAAGCAGGCTTCGGGGGAATGTAGAGAAATGAAACTTAAATTTGAAAGCAGAATAATCAAGTATTATTTGTTTAAAATTTACTTCTAAGTATGAGATGTGCCTGCGTGGATGGGAATTAATATTACTGTTCTCCTTTCAGGATGAGCTGATCAGAGCAATTACAGCCCGGTCAGCCAGGCAGAGGAGTTCTGAATACTCAGATGACTTTGACAGCGACGAGATTGGTATGTAAGGAGAAATACAAATGGACCAGTTCCTTGTGTTTTGCTTCCCTAGTTACATGTCACGTATCCCCTAACTTCTTAGGACAATACAGTGCCTATGAACTCACTCATTTTAGAATTTCTGTGCATGCAATGAGTTAAAAAGCCACTAGTAATTTTCAAGAAGCTTACGGATTATTTTTGATTATTTCTGAACGTGAGTTTAAAACTGTGTAAGTACATTATCAGCAGGTCTGCCATCAAGTGATGCCTTAGGAGTAAGCTATATTGGAAGGCGGTTTCTTCTTGAAGTTCAACTTGAAGAATTCTGTATTCAGATAGCAGCCAGGGTGACAGGATTAAACCTGGGAGCATTTCTGTAATCTTCTGATACAGCCCGACTGGGGCTTGGGATTGTGGGTAGAGTAGCTACTCTTCTGTTGTTGGTATAAAACATCGTGACCTAAAGGGACTTAGAGAGAGAGTTTATTTTACTTTATAGTTGAAGAGGGATGTGGGTCCATCATGGGGAGTGGACTTGGAGTAAAGCTGCGGACATGGCGGCAGGGGCAGGAAGCTGAGCCATAACCTCACCAGCAAACGTGAAGCAGAGAGCAAGCTGGAATTGTGTCACTGCGATGAACTCTGAAAGTCTCCCCCAGTTATGTGCGTCCACAAACTGATACCTGCTCCCCTAACGGTGCCGCCAGCTGGGGACCAAGTGGACACGTCCCTGAGCCGATGGGGGAACTTTCTCGTTCAAATCCCCCGATCCCACTTCCTGTAACGCATGAGCTCACGGCCAATGTGAAACACATCCAGTCCGACTTTAAAATTCCCCATCGTCTTTAACATTTTCGGCATCACTTAAAAGTCCAGTCTCTTGAGATTCAAGGCGATTTCTGAATTGTAACCCCTTGGAAAACCAGAAAAGCAAATTACATACTTCTAAGATATTATGGGACAGGATGTATACAACCATTCCAAAAGGGAGGCACGTGGGGGCCCATAGTGAGGAAATACTGGGCTAAAGCAAGGCACTCTCCTTGGCTCTGCCCCTCACACTTCTCTGTCTGCAGCATACCCCCGCCCCTCTCTCTTTCTCTCTTGGTCTCGCCCTCATCCTGTCTCTAACTCTCTGGCAGATGTCTCAGGACTCTGCTTCTACAGCATCTTGGGGTTCCCTTCACGGCCCAAGTTTCATTTTCACAATTCCACACCATGGTTTTTCACCCTCTCAGGGCCTTCAGACAGGCTTCCCTTCCTGCCACAGCAGGCCTAGCCAAGGAGGCTCTTGCAACCATAGGAGGGGAATCCATGATCCTCTCACACTCCTGGATTGTGTGCCTCCAAAATCAGCACCAAGTGGAAGCCACTGCCAAGCTTGGCTGTCACTGAGTCACATGTGTTTCTTATCCCATTGATTTCTAGAAGCAGAATTCATTCCATATCCTCTTTCACGGTTGGAAACCTAGCTACCTAGTGGGGGAGGGCTCTTGCCCTGAGGGCACCCTTCCCTTTGTTCCACTGCAGAGCTGGGGCCTCTGCTAACCCGGCTGATCTCATCTGCCTCCTGCACAAGCTTCCCAGGGCTCTTTTTCTCTTCGGGCTGTATCTTCCTGTCCAGCTTGCTTGTTTTTCTTATAGACCCTCATAAGCAAAATCAGTAATAACCAGTCCATAGATTCAATAATACACTGTCTCCAAGCCTCCTCTATCAAAGAAATTCAGTTTATTACTTTTTAAGTTAGTGTACTGTTTGCTTTCTATTGCTGTGATAAATCATTAATCAAATCCAACTTGGGGAGGAAAGGGTTTATGTAGCAATTCATCCTTGAGGTACCTCAGATGCTCACCCAGGAGCCTGAGGTAGGAATGAAGCAGAGGCCATGAAGGAGCATGGCCAAGTGGCTCACTATCCTTCAACTTGCTCACCTTGCTTTCTTGTGCTCTCAGGATGCCTGCCCAGGGATGGCGCTGCCCACAGTGGGCTGGGCCCTCCCACATCAATCCTTAATCAAGAGCCTGCCTCACAGATAGCCCACAGGCCAGTGTGTTGGAGGCAGTACCTGGGTTGTGGTTTCCTCTTCCCAGATGTTTGAGTTTGTGTCCAAGTCGACAAAAACAAACCCACACCTTTATCCTTGGGCAAGATCCTATGACAAGGCCAGTCGGCCTCCAGATTTTACACCAAGATACCACAAGGAATGGCCTCTAGCCCACATGCTGTTAGAGTCTTTGCTTCCTCCTGAAGCTTCTTGAGCTGGAGTCCACATGACTCTCAGAACTTCAGTCCCAGGCTCCTCCTAGGATGGACTTTCAAACTCTCCTTCCAAGTTTAACCGCTGCTGTGTGAGCTCCAGTGTGTTCCACACTCCGGTTTCTAGCAGCATCCTCTTCTCTGGACCAGCTTCTGCCTTAGTTACTCTTTTGTTGCTATGGTAGAGCACTGGGGCCAAAGTAATAGATGGAGAAAAGAGTTTATTTGGGTTTGCGATCTCAGAGAAACGTGAGTCCGTCATGGTGGGGCAGCATGGCAAGAAGTTGTAGGCACTCGCTGGTTGCAGGATCTGCAGGCTGAGAGATGGCAGCAGACAAGAGGCAGAGAGCTAGCCGGAGGTGGCCGAGGTTGTGAGCTCCCAAAGCCTGTCCGTAGTGATGCACTTCCTCCTCAACAAACAGTGCCGCCAACTGGGGACCCGTGTTCAAGCCCCTGAGCCTACTGGGAATATTCTCAGTCAAAACACCAAAGTGGGTCGTTGTGAAAGACAGACCCTACAGATTCATTTAGCCATGATTTTGGGTTAACTTGGTTTCTTTAAGTGAGCTAAACATTCTACTTTAGTTTTCAGGTATAAGTATATAGAATTTTAAATCTGAAATGAAATGTGCTATTTTGTATTGTGAACAGTCCTTAAGTCCTGTGTCTTGTTAAGTTGTTCTTTATTAGATATATTATTTTGGGATGGGTGCTACATTGAGCATCTTTGGGGGACATACCTCAATAAGCACAGTGCTGCAGACACTTGGTAAATATTTTTAGTGTATTAATGAAACTCGGATTTTATTTCATAAATGCCAATAAGGAGTGCCTAGATTAGTGGTTTTCAAGAGGTACAAAATCAATTTGTACCTATTTGGGATTGTTGATTTATTTCTAGTCCTTTCTCTTCCTGAAGATGGTTGTTTTTCAAAGAGATGGAATATGGCCTTCGCATGTTTAAAATGCCCTGCTGAAATCATCTTTTTCTTGTTCATAATTCAGTTTCTCTAGGCGAATTTTCAGATACCTCAACAGATGAAAGTCTAGTTAGAAAAAAGATGAACGATTTTCATTTATCTGACGATGAGGAGAAGAATTCTCCAAGATTGTCTTTTTTGAAAACCAAGAATGTAAACAGTGACCTATGCAGAGAGGAGCAGGAGCTCGTCAGCCAGCACAGCGAAGGCGTGTCACCTGATGTTCATGACGATGTGGCCGGAAACTCCTCTTCCAAATCGCAGAATGATGCTCAAGAAGTCGGAAAAGAGATCATTGCAATAAAGCCTAAACCCAGAGTTCTCACCAAACGCAGTCCATCTCCAGGTAACTTGGCAAGTTACTATCACTGCATTTGCAGAACATTTGTTTTAAGATAATCTGTCACAAAACTTTTTATATGGTAGCTAATGAATTCAACTTTCCAAATTCTCAGCTATAGCTTAGTAACCATGGCTACAAGCCCTTTGCATATCCAGTCTGGAATCTGTGCTGGGGGCTGAGAGAAAAGCAAGCTGCTGTGGTCACCCACAGATGTAGCTCCCAAACACTTGGTTTGTGGGGAGGGAGCTGCAGTGAATCAGTTCTCATCCCCACACGCTCCCGAGATTAAAACAGCCATCTACAAGACTGGCAGTGTGGTGAAGTGGTGGGTAAATGGCTGGCATGCACAAGGCCCTGGGTTCAAGTTCAGGCCTATGGAAGCATGGCAGCATTTTTATACCAATAGTCTGCTTTTGTTGTTAATGAAGCTTCCAGATTCTCCTTAAGAAAACAGAATCTTTCTTTGGTCTACTGCATGGGACTATCAGCCAAAATCCAGTTTCCTGAAGGTAGAAGTAGCTTCCTGGTGTGACTGAGAAGTACTGGGGTGCTCTCCAACAGTCTGCTAACCCTTTGACCTGGGGAAGGACTAATGGAGAACAGTTAGGGGTACCCTGCGAGCCCTGGGAGATACCATGGAACATGCGGGAAGGCAAGGATTCTCCTGGTCGTCTTTCTTTCTGTTTTACAAAGGAAGAACTAGCTCATGCTGAGCTGTGTAAAGTCTCCCCATCATGTCTAGTGTGGCGCTGTCGGGTATTTCATAGCATGGTAGATGGCACCAGTGACATCATATATAACTTGATTTCAGACATATGTTAGGGAATGGCCCTTCCCTACCTGATACTCAAAGCAGAGACCCCTAGGAGAGCATCTGAGCCACTGATCACAGGCCTCGCCACCTGTTAGTTATGTGGGCAATGGATTCTGCCACTCTAGCTGCTGGGGTAGGAGGGCAAACCTGTTTTTCTTGTCCCACGGTATTGTGCTGAGAATCTTTTGAAGTAACTAGAAAATGCCATCAAATGTAAGCCGCCCGTGTAAGGAAGCTGAATTAACTCCAGCCTGAGCCTCCCAAAGTGTAGTGATGGACTCGTAGGTAGAGCGTAGTTGAATTTAGTCTCTAAGAAACTATGAGGACTGAGAATGTAATATAACGATAAAGTCCTTGCCCTGCATGTGGAAAGGGTTCATGATCCCAAGAACTGACCAACGAAATTAATAAAAAAAAAAAGGGAACTCAGAGAAGAAATGTAAACAAAGAAGCAACCCTTAGTCTGAGACAGCCAGATGTGTAATTCCCAGTTTACGGTAGGTACCAAGTAATTCTCCACCATCTGTTAAAGCTGTGGAAGAGCCTGGTGTGTTAATGCAGACACTAAGCCCTTCACTCTAGAGGCTGAAGCAGTAGGATTGCTGTGAGTTTGAGGCTAGCCTGCGCTACATAGATATAGGCTAATAAACAAGACCTTTCAGGTACTGGAAAAAGCTGGTGGGAATTTGCAATAAAGGTAAGATTGAAATAAGTAAGGCAATACTATGTTCTAACCACAAGGTGGCAGCAGAATTCTGATTGCCCCTTAGGTGTGAATGCATTGCTTTTCTTCCTGAGAATTTGACAGTATTTCTGGAAATGGATCTGAAGTTGTTGGGTTCTTCTGTTTGGAGCACAAACATTGAAGATTAAAAATTGAGGCGAGTGGCCCTGAAAAGTACTTGGCACAGAGAAGTAATAAAGGATCAAAATGAGTGGATGACTACATAGTTGATTCATCATTAGAGAAAGAATGTAATTCCTGGCTTTAGCCATACTCCTAAATCGGTGGTTTCTTTTTTTATTATTCTGTATTTACAATGCTGAGGATTGGATTGTTTTCTTGAGTGCTCAACACCCTCGGTACCACCATAACCAGTGAGTGAACGCTCTGCACCTCAGTACCACCGTAACCACCGAGTGCTCTGCACTTCCGGTACCACCATAACCAGTGAGCGCTCTGCACCTCGGTACCGCCATAACCACAGAGCACTCTGCACTTCCGGTACCACAATAACCACTGAGAGCTAATTACCTTTTGTCCCGCCATATATGTCTGCTAGGGACTTTTTGGATGGAAGACTTCTCTAAGCAGTCAGCGCTGCATCCCTTTCTCCAGCAAGGGGCCCTCCACACCCTGAGGCCAGCATCATTTTCTCCGCACCTGTAGTAGCACTTTTCTTTGTTTTGTCAGTTTATTTATTTAAGAATCATTTATTTTCTCTACCGGCAAAGTTCCTGAATACTGAATACTTATAAGGGCCGGTGTTGTATGGAGGAACTGGTTTCAGCAGAGGTCTCACTCCACAGAGGGAAGTTGTGTGATGCTTTATGTTTTGGAAATGTTTTTAATACTAAGAGAATTCATACAATTGAAATTAACGTTTAATAAAACTAAATTAGACTAGCAAACTACAGGATGGAAGTGATTGTTTTAGATTTTGATTCTGAAACCTGTTTTTATTGGAGCTTGAGAAGTGTGCGCTCGCCCCATGCTCGCAGCGCTGCCAAGGTCAGGCTTGCACACTTACCCCATGGTCACAGCACTGCCGAGGTCAGGCTTGCACACTCACCCC